ATGTCACTATCACAAAGTATGTGTATGACTTGTCAACAAGAATTTCTAACACAAATAATGACTCACTTTTAGTTATTTTATAACCAAGTATCAATTTCTCTCCACAGCACTGATAACGTTGTTTTGGAAATGACCATTGGCAAGAGTATCCAATTGGACAAGCATTTGCTGTTGAATTGAACGGATCACATGATATCACTTGATTATCTCTCATATAAACGTATTTTTTTGGTGGACAACCATCTGTACAGAGTTTAATAAAATTTAAATTTATCCGCAATTAGCTTATGCTTATTGTATATTGTCAACATGATGAGTATATCATTCAAAAGTAAAAAATTATTATTTTACGAAGAAGTGATAAAAATTTTATCATTTTGTAGTATTTCTAAAAGAATAAATCTTGTCCACTTTATAAAAGAAATTTCATTTTTTTATATTAATTTTAAATATATAAAAATTTTTTCCTCCAGAAATTGTTTATTTAAAAATGTAAATGAAATTATAAAATTTAATTAAAATTGCAATTTACAAAGCAAACTTTATTTGTCTCATCATTGTTTTTTTTTTCTCAGCAATAATCCAGAAATACATTTAACCTACCGGAAACTATTGATGCATTATCATTTTCGCAACAATAACCAGTTGTAAATTCGGTTTGTGTACTCTGACATGTATAGCCAATGGGACAAGTGACAAATGGTGAACTGAGTTGACATGAACGTGGCATTCCACTGATGGTTTCGGTGTAAAATCTTGCACGATTTGGACATAAGTAATTCGATGAACAACAATAACCCTAAAGATGTACATATTTTAAATTTCAAGAAAAGAAAAATTAATGAACTTTTGAAAAAAATTTTTAATTTTAAAAAATAAATTTGAAATAATTGTAGAAAAATTAGTAGTCTTTAATTATTTTGCTTTTAAAAAATTTCCTTAAAATTAATTTAAATATTAAAAAATTTTAAACGCATTAAAAAATTAAGAAAAATTCAAATATTCAAAAGTTTTTTTAAATTTAATTCCTGAAAGTAAAAATGACAAAAATTAGAGCAAAATTACTTAAAGAGTTAGCCTAGTTCAATCCTAAGGCTGGTTTTTACAAAATTATTCTTAGTGTTAAATTAGATTTATCCATTTAGATAACTTTTAAGTAATTCTTTTGACTAATCAAATCAATGCATGGATTTTTTGGTGGACAGATAAGTTGTCCCATTAATGATATGACGAGTGTGACAATTAAGTTTATAGTTTGATTCAAGAACCTTATTGAAATAATGTTCCAAAAAAAAAGAAAAAAATTTCAAATAAACAAAAAAGATTTGAAGAGTTTGGAGCTATTTTCTAAGTCTTATGATAGAAGTTGCGCAATAATTTTGCTATGAAGAATATTTACGATATATTTAGTATTTACTTTAAAATTAACTCAATTTAAAATTGGCTAAAATAATGCGTTTCATATCTCTCTATGCTAACATTTTCAATTTCACATTCAATAATTACTTTTTTTAAAATTATAAACCAAAACATAAAATGACCTGTACAGCTCCTGGAATTTCGGACAAGCAACTATACCCTTGTGGACATTGATTACTTTCACTGCTTATTATACAACGAATAGGTAAGTTTGAAGATTGATCTTTGTAAAGTGCTTTACCTCTTGGACATAATTCTAAAAAAAATGTGCTCAAAAAATGAAGACAAATAAAATTTTGCAGTTTAAGAATAATCATTATCACAAAAAATTATCATTCATTTATTTTAATTTAAACCTATACATTATAAACATATTTATTTTAATGTAAGTATTTATTTTAATTTTTCATTACATATATTTTTTAATTTTTATTATATATATTTATTTAAATTTAAATACATACACTATAAACATATTCATTTTAATTTAAATATTTATTTTAATTTTTTATTATATATATTTATTTTCATTTTTTTTACATATTTATTTTAGTTTAGATTCATACACTATAAACATATTTATTTTAATTTTTCATTATATATATTTATTTTAATTTTTATTATATATGTTTATTTTAATTTAAATCCATACACTATAAAACACCAATACCTAGAAAGAAGAAATAATTTAAAGAGAACTGAGTTGGAAAAAAAAGAAAAAGGAGGACATGTTTATGCTTATTATAACTTTAATATGCTTACATATAATTTAAAAGAAATAAATATATTGACAAATATATACCTCCATTGATAGATGTACAACAATAGTAACGATTTGTTTGAAAATGAAAACGACACAGGTAATAATTGGGACATGAATTGCTAATATTTATTAAGCATTCATGAACACTCATATTAAAAGTATTCATATATGCTTTTTCATCATTTGGACAAACTTCTGTAAATTTTGAAACTTCATTTATTGATTCATAAAATTCGCAACGAATAAATACGTTAAGCGTTAAAAATGCTTTAAGGAAGTGTTTTAATTGAAAAATGATTCAATGAATTATGTGCCACCAAATGTTTGACCTTTGTCTATAGACTGATTAACCTTTGTCTATAGATTGATTAACCTTTGTCTATAGACTGATTAACTTTTGTCTATAGATTGATTAACCTTTGTCTATAGACTGATTAACTTTTGTCTATAGATTGATTAACCTTTGTCTATAGACTGATTAACTTTGTCTATAGACTTGATTAACC